GTCACATTCAAGCAATGTGCGCCTGATGACACTCGGTGGATCTCCAGTACAGATTTGCAGACTTCTGCACCCCTCAGATTCGCCGACTATGAGAAGCGACGCCTTGCTAAGGACGCAGCTCGTCCCGCCCGACCCTTCTATGTATGGCTCAGACCCCACCATCTCACGATTGAATGTGTGTGGAGTGATGCTATGTGAGTCAGTCTATGTGAGTCAGTCCGTTTATCAGACTTCCGTTGCATCTATACTCATCCTACATTGGTTGATTCTTGGTTCTGCCCATACTCATTGGAGTATGCAACAACTAGCATCAAGCCAGCGCAAGGCAGAATGCCTTCCCCAGTGTCTGACTGTCCTTTGTAGCGTTGACCAGTGTTGACTGGCGTGCGCCAGTCTCCCTTTTGCCAGTGTCAACACTTCAGATTTGCCTGATCTCGTCGGGCCGGATGCAGCCGTGAAGCAGCGGTACCTTTTCCCACTTGGGACTGGAATCTTCTCCATAGCTGCATACAACCATTGATGTGCATCTGATCTATGGCCGGGGCTGACTACTGGGTTGACTTTGACTTTGGGCCTGCTTTCCCGTGTTTGGTCTGACTCTTGATTTTCCAAGAGTCAACTATTTCACGTGGGGGCACTGGACGCTGTTTTCAACCCGGGCCCAGATACACCTTGACCTTAGGGCTTTTCCTAGACATTTCTCACACTTGGAACGTGACCTTTGACCCCTGTTTCTGACCTTTTGATCAAGAGTGACGACCCTTGCCGGCGACAGGGTGGCCATGAACTGGGTTTATTGCACACTTTTCCCCTTTCTTACTATGTCCTGTCCTTTTTAACAGGGCAACATCCTTGAGATATGATCATGGAATTGACGGGCCCAAGGTAATTCAGGATTGTAGTATTTTACTTATCTGCTCCCAGTGGAGTTCGAACTCAGGTCTGTATTTCAACAGTTCAGGGGTGTACCAACTGAGAGAGGCCAGCTGGGTTTTTTGCCTTTTCAAGACTTTCTTTTCCTTCCACAAGCGCGGTGCAGAAGAGGGGCGCGAGGAGAGGAAGGGAGGGAGGTGAGGAGAACCGAAAGATGGAGAGAAAGAGAAAGACAACAAACGACAGAGAAAATTCGAGACTCCTGTTTTTCTTCCTTCTCCCTCCCCCCCAAGAGGCTCGAATCTGAAGTGCATTCAGCTCAAGAAAAAAAAAAAAAAAAAAAATGCTCTTCCTGTGCGTCCTCGCCCTCCTTGTGTGTATCCTCTTGGTCATTCAATCATCTTCAGATCGATGACGTGCTCCCATACCTTCTCACTCCTCTTCTCAGCAAGTTTTTTTTATTTCTTCGCTCGCTCTTCCCATCACAGAGACAGAGAGAGAGACACGGGGGGAGAGAGGGAGAGAGGGAGAGAGAGAAAGAGGGAGGGAGGGAGAGAGCACAAGGGTAACGAAGGCATGAACATAGTGACGGGATAGAGGGTTAGGTAGAAGCCGAAGGCAGGGTCAACGTGACCAGATTGAGACGCCATGATACACAGAGAGAGAGAAACGTGGAGACAGAGAGAGAGGGGATAATCCACGGTCCACATGGAGTCCGCAGCAGAGACGCCGTCGCAGAGAGCGGATCGGCACGAGCATGTGGGCAATGCACATGCGCGCCCTGTGCGCTGTTTTTTTTCTTTTCTTTTTCCGCACGTCTGTGAAGCGCCACGTGTCAAGTCCGCATGCATAAAGATCGCACCTGTACACACTCTATCGATGTTCCTCTCCGTCGATCCTCCCTGCATCGTCCTTCCACCTCGATCCTCGGTTCCTCTCCGTCCATCCTGCCTGCACGGTCCTTCCACCTCGCTCCTCGGTGGTCGTCCCTTACTCCTCCGTCACGCCCCGCTTCTTTCGCAGTCTTGAATGTGGTCCTCCCTCTTCTTTCGCAGTCCGCCCCCCTCTTCCTCCAATTTCTGCTCCTTCCTCCTTTGTTGTCTCTCTCCATCTTGGTCGGTCACCTCCTTCTTCCTGCTCTTTCTCATTGTTCGCTCTTGTGCACTGGCAGAGTGTGTGGGCTGTTCTCCATGTCGTTCTCTCGCTGTGAATCTGAGCTGGCAGAGTACCCGCGTCCGTGCCCGTGTGACTGTGTGCCCTATCTCGATCACTCCGGCCCGCGCACGCCAAATCGCGTACCCGACCTTGCGTACCGCACCCGTTCGTGCACCCGGCCTTGCTGCCCCCGCGAACCCACGCGTCCCGGGCCTCCCGTTCTTTCGCCCCCCTCTGCTCCCGCTTGGCCCGCGGCGCCTCCCGGTTTCCTCCTGGGTCGTGGCACCGCGCCCGGAGCTCCCCGGGAAAAAGAGAAGAGAAAAGAAGAGGAGAAGAGAAGACAACCACAGTGGTTAGGAGAGAAATGAATCGAAGCCGTCAAAACGGAGCAAGGTCTTAATAGCAAAAAGCAAGGTCATAATAGCAAAGAGGATTGGATTGACCGCCTGCTTCCAGAGTGAGTTTTGAGGAGAGATTCAGAAATGCAGATCAATCCCTATTCTCTACACCTATCCACAAACATGTCCAGATTCAGGGTTTCGATGCAATCCTCTCTGCTAGTGTGGGACCTCGTCCTGGACGGCACTTCAAAAAGGCTTGGGGTCTAACCCCTCGCCTGATGGATTGCCGCCTTTGCTGCTGTTTTTCTGTAAGAAAAAGAAATTAAAAAAGAACGGAAGAGGCGTGGGGAGGAGAATCTACGGTTTCCCTCAAATGTAACACACACTTCTTTTTTCATTTCCAGCGCATTCACTGATAGCCAAACAAAAAGAGAAGGTTTATACACAGGCATCATTATGACCACATAACAGGCGAGAAGACAGAAGAGGAGAGGAGAAGAGGGGAGGGGAGGAGGAGGGGAGACGGGAAGGACAGAAGGAGAGGAGGAAGGAGAGAAGAAGAAGGGAGAGCAAGCAGTGTTGGCCTCGGAAAGGGGGGATCAAGCGCTTGTTCACAGCAAACAGGAGAAGATGAGTGGAGGAGAGAAGGAGAGCAGGAGAGAAGGAGAGGAGAGAAGACAGAAGGACAGAAGGACAGAAGGAGCAGGGAGAGCGTGGGGTTTACCGTAGAGGAAAGGAGAGGAAAGGAGAGGAGAGGAGAGGAGAGGCGAGGAGAGGAGAGGGGAGAAGGGAAAGGGAGAGCGTGGGTGGACGGGAAGGGGGAGATCGACATCAATTACTTGTTCACCGCGAACTGACGAATAACGGCGACGAGCATTTTAACACCCTGGATGCTGTGAAGGACCTCGCTTCTCAAGATCTCGGCGTGCTGATTACACACTCTCTGGAACTTCTCTTCCCGCGTTTTTTTCCCGGCCACAAAAAGCTTCCCGAACAAACAAGCCGTAATTGTCAATCCCAAAATGACGCAGAAAACGACGGCCAGCTTCTGCCATCGAAGATTCCACCTGCTGCTCCCATTCCACAAACTCGACGAAAAATTCGATTCTCTGTCTGTCGCCATGGACCTTCCCTCTCCTCCTCCTCCTGCGCGCTCTCCTTTTTCTGTTTTCTGACATCTTGAGAGAATCTGACTCGAGACCAATTTCATTGCCAGGTCCCGCATCCGAGTGCTATCTTCTCTCAAGCTCCTTGACCTACATTCATCTCTCCATATACTGCCTGGTTCTTCTTTAAACCCTACCCTCTTCTTCTTCCGTGTGCCCCCGCTGCCTGGCGTACTCTCCCTATCCTTTCTACAAGATTCGATCCCCCCGCAGTCGCCCTCGCGGTCGCCGTCACCGCGGCTTCTGGAGGGATCGCAATTCCCGACATCGCTTCCCGCCTCACGGCCATGGACCGGTACTCTTCCACACAATCGACGAAAAACAAGCACAGTCCGCCCGTGACGCACCGAGGATGGTCTTCCATAGCAGCATTTCCCGCCAAATCCTGCTGCACAAGCACTCTCATCATCTCCTCCTCTTCCTCCACCTCCGCCTCCTTCTCCGTCGCCACCCATTGCGGCGGCCGCAGCGCCTCCGTCCTCCCTTGCTCCGGGCCCTTCGCGCTGTCTGCCGCTCTGCTCCGGCGTCTCGTAGCTGTACTGGCGCCTAAAGAAATCGCACGTCTTGTGAGCTATTCGAGCCAGACCTGCGCTAGTGCCGCAGGTCGGACATATATTCTCGTCCGCCCCTAGTCGCCCCCTCGGAACCCTTCCATTGCCCACAAGGCTCTCATCAAGGGCATCGCAGGCGTTCTCCTCCTCCTCCTCCTCCTCCTCTTCCTCCGCCGTCGCCTCTCGGTCGGATCTCGCGGCAGTCGAGCCCACCCCGCAAAAGCCCGAGGAGGGGGAGGAGGAGCTGCCAGCTATCGCGGTGTCGGCGACTTCCCGGACTCTTTGAGGTTGGAAGGCGTGGCCGGGGGGGGAGGGGAGAGAATCGCTTCCCCACACACCCATGCTTCGCCCTCGATCTCCAGAGGTGGAATTCTCACTGCCGTCGGCGTAATCGTGTGCAGAAGGAGGAGTGGTGGGTGAAGTCGCGTCAGCATGGGAGAGGAAGAAACCTCGATCCCCCATCCCCGCCCGCCCAATGGGGACATGGAAGTCGCCCAGGTCGCCCAGGTCGTCCATGTCGCTCCGACTGTAAGCGTTGGGCAGCCCAGCCCGCGCGCGCGCTCCGCCGCCAACAATCTCAGCTGCGCTTATGACGCCGCTGCCCTTGCCACTCCTAGGATGATAAGAAGAAGGCTGTGGAGAGACGGACAGCCAGCGAGAAGCACCATGACCGGGTCTGGATCCGGATACGGCGCGTGAACCATGTCGACAATGAGCCTACCCGCCGCGGCAATCCCTTAGTCGCTGCTGCACATGAATAACATAGTAAAAACATGAACATGAATCAGAATAAATAAATAAATAAATACAGTAATAAACTTCCTTGCAACTTGGAAAGGCCAAATGCCCCGTCGTTAAATGGGAAAGTCCGCGCGGAGATGATCAAGGTTCGGAAGAGAAACATATCAGCCACCCGACTCACCCAAGACACAGAGAGAGAGAGAGAGAGAGAGTGAGAGAGAGAACATTAGCAGCCAGCGAAATGCAACACCGACACTTCGGCTTGTTTGTTAGTTTTCGTTTCCCACCTTTTTTGTGGCGAAGTCTTCGGTCTTACTGTGTGATTCGGGCAAGGTTCCTCTCATGTACTTATAGTATGTTAATCACCGAATAACGGCGCTACTCTATACATAAATACATAAATTTATATTTATTGTCACACTGGAAATCGGAGCGCAAAGGCGGAAAAAGACAAAACAAGAAAAAGAAAAAGAAGGAAAGCCCCACCTGTTCGTCACCTCTTACGTACAAGGCCTGCCACGTGGATGACAGGTTGAGCGCTGGCTGCCCCAATCCCCGTGTGTCATATTGTACATAAAAGGTTCAGCCTCCTGATGAGTCGGTGAAACTCCGACGAAACAGTTCGTCACAGCCCCTCCGTGGCAATGTATATATATCTGTCACAACCCCTCGTTTGTTGTCCTATTCTCTCTCTGTGCCTACGTTTCACCGGGCAGTTCTGTATATTTATATATCGCCAAACAGAACTGCCCGGTGAAACGTAGGCACAGAGAGAGAATAGGACAACAAACGAGGGGTTGTGACAGATATATATACATTGCCACGGAGAATGTGCATCTATATTCTCCGTGAGTGTGTGAGGCTGTAACATTATTTAGAATTTCTACATAACATATATGCATATATTGTCACACTGTAAATCAGAGTGCATGCATATATGTATATATCGTCACAAACATATATATGCACATATACCGTCATAGAGATGTGGCAATATATCTCACCGGGCAGTTCTCTATGACGATACATATGTATATATACAGGGTTCGGCCTCCTGATGAGTCGGTGAAAATCCGACGAGTCTATTGAAACGACTCACGAATTTTATTTTGATTTTTCCTTGGGTCACAGCCCCTCGTTTGTTGTCCTCTTATGCCTCCTTGCCAACTTTTCAACGGGCATTTCTTTATGACACACACGCATATGTATATACATATATATGACGATATATATAAAATTGAAATATAAAACTAGACCTATACACACACACACGATATATATGAATACATGTATATACATATGTATCGTGATATAAAATGTATTCTCCTTTCTGCCTTCGCTTCACCAGCAGTTCTCTGCGAAAATCTGCATCGCCGCTAGCACAACAAAATACATATGTATCGTATATATATCGTCAATATATGTATATATATGTATCGTCATCACAATACATACCTTTTGCCTACGCTTCACCGGCAGTTCTGCGAGAATCTGCATCGCCGATTGCAAAGAACAATACACCGAGGCCCGCACCTGTTGTTCTGCAGGAGTTAGCTTAGCTTCGCTTATCATACCCATTTAAAAGCAACCAGTAGAAAAAAGAACGAAGCCCACGGCCGGGATGTCTCGAACGATCGCCGACGAAATCATTTGCTCACACTATGCGACTGTATGACTGGATCTCGGAGCTCAATCTTTATCCTGACCGCTGACTGGGTGTGAAGACAAACAGCGTTGCGCGCCTTCTGTTAGACGTCGGTAGGCTGCCATAGAAAAATTAGACCAACCAGGGGAAGAGGTGCCCCGTTCGAAAACAAAAGACACAGATCACACTGGTTCACCGGTTTAATTGATCAATCCATCAATCCATCGATCAATCAATCAGCCAGCAATCAACCAATCAATCAATCAATCATCAATCCAGCAACTATCAATCCAGCAATCATCAATCCATCAATCAATCAAACAACCAAGCAAATCAACACGTAGCCAAGAGTCGATGCAACCGGGACAGACGCGTCCGTGAGTGCGGGCGTGTGTGCATGCTTGTGCGTGTGTGACCGTGAGCTGCAGGAGTCCCCGAGCGGAAAACGTCGTTGCCTCGCGTCCAGCTCGGGAAGGGCAACAGGGGGAAGGAGGCGGACGAAAGAGAGACAGACAGACAAAAAGCGAGGGACCGAGAGAAGAGACAGACAGAGAGAAGAGAGACAGAGAGAGAGCTGAGTAGAGGAAAGAAAATCAGATAGCAGAACGTGGAAAGAAACGACTGCCGGGATAAGACACGGGGATACCGACAGGGTCTTACAGACGGGAGGATATGGAAAGGAATGGATGGACGGCTGAAAAAGCTCACACTAACATCCCAGAAAGACAACTGCACATTGACGGCCGGGAAGGAGTGGGGGGGGAAGAGAGGGGGGGGGGGGRGGCTGTAAGGGGAAGCACACAATGGTGCACCCCCAACCCACCACGTGCCACGAGTTGTTAGGTTCTCATTCACATCCCATCCCAACTCCGGCGCCATTCTCAGAGTAGCGGTCGTCGTCGTCGTCGTCATCGTCGTTACCGATGTGACAAGGACCAGCAGGAGGACTTCTTCGACCGAGTCTGACCGTCTTGCCGGTTGGGTGCAGCCAAAATGAGGGTGCGTTGTGTTCGGGGGACGACTAGCAATGATCCACCTGTTGAGTGCAGTCAAAATGAGGGTGCGTTGTGTTCGAGGGAAGACGGTAGCAACGATCCACCTGAGGGCAATTACGGTCAGCCTCAGTCGAAGAAGTCCTCCTGCTGGTCCTTGTCACCTCGGTAATGACGATGACGACGACCGCTATTCTGAGAATGGCGCCGGAGTTGGGATGAGATGTGAATGAGAGCCTACCGACTCGTGGCACGTAATCGCCCTCAGGTGGATCATTGCTAGTCGTCCCCCGAACACAACTCACCCTCATTTTGGCTGGCACTCATACATTCATTGTCATTATCAGGGTGCGTTGCGTTCGCCGGATGACGGTAGCAGTGAGCGACGTGTCCGAGACGGTAGTAGAGGGCGACGTGTCCGAGACATCTTTGCCGCGGTCGGAAATTGGTTCTGTACGTCGGAAATTGGTTCTGTAGCAATCGTACCAATTTCCATACATTACATATATGGTGGTTCGCACAGGAGAAAGTGTACAGACTCTCTGCAGACAGCAGATCCAAGATGTGGGGACACTTAAGGATCCCAAGTTCGCAATTCGATGGAATTCGGGATCGCCCGAAAGTGCAAACACTTGCCACGTCTGGTCTGGTACTATCCCACCTACACCTCGCGTGTTCACGAACTCCCCGTTCCACTGCATCTCAGAGACACGGTCGGAGAACTTCCAAGGACTGGCTAAATCCAGTGATCTCCTTTCATCCCCGGAATGAGTTTGTCATTCCAGGTGCATGTTCCACGCATGAAATAAGTTGTGTCCATCTCGTTGTGGACATCTGCAACGTCCCACTTATACACTGAGCTTCGCCCTTCACTAGCCATTTTGTGGTATTCCAATTTCGTACTTTGCGCAATGCTTTATGAGGCCCAGTAGAAGACGGCAATTCATAGATAGCATCCACAATCATTTCAATGACTTGGCTAATGATGATGTTTTCTTTCAACGACTTGGCTAATGGAGTATCTTTCTTTCAATGACTTGGCTAATGATGCATTTTTTTCCAAACTCAGCGCTGACCAATGTCGAATTTTCACAAGTTGAACGATTTTGTGTATTTTAACTTCATTTTGGAAAGAGTTTTCGAGTATAGATTTTATATATATATATCGTAATTCAAGTGCTGTCGCAAAATATATATGCATTATTGTTTTATAAGGGGAGTTATAAGGCAGAAGATAAAAAAATGAATTCAGTTTTTCCTGGTTTTTTTCTTTTTCCTTTTTGTTCGCATTTGCGCTCTCATATTGTTTGTTTTTTTCGCTTTTGCGCTCCAATATCTATGTGACGATATATATATCGCCAAACAGATGCTCGGCAAACCATAGGCAGAGAGGGAGAAGAGGACAACAAACGAGGGGCTGTGACAAAGTGTTTCGTCGGAGTTTCACCCACTCATCAGGAGGCTGAACCCTCAACAGTCTGCGGAATCCCCTAACCGATTACACTAAGTGACAATCCACCTTAACCCCAGTTGTGGTTTAGCATCAACGACTGCCCGACAACTGATACCCTGAGGTGGGCACCAACCAGTGCCCTCAAGATACCTGTGACGAAAATCAAAGCAGACCATCACTCACCCACACCAGATGGACAATTGTACAGACTGTCGGTTCACACCCCATCACAAGCCAGCAAAACAGATAGATATGTCTGTCGTGTTTTTTATTTTGACCGTTCGTTTCGCGAAGTGCGCTCTTCCAGTTCATAGATATGTGACAATATATTTATATATGAACTTATATACGTATGTCTGGAGTGTATTTTTTGGTTGTGAATTTCTTTCGTGCGTATTTTGCTGGCTTGTGATGGGGTGCAAACCAACAGACTATTTTTTGGCTGTGACAGACCTTTTCTTTGTTTCGTGGGTGGAAACCTCTACAGACTATTTTTTGGCTGTGACAGACCTTTCTTTGTCTCTTGGTTTATTTGTTTCATGGGTGATTTCCGTCACAGGTACCTTGAGGGCAGTGGTTGGTGCCCACCTCAGGGTATCATTTGTTGGGAATCGTTGATGCTTAACCACAAACGGGGTTGAGGTGGATTACCACTTAACAGTGTAAGCACTTAGGGGATTCTGCAGACTGTTGAGGGTTCAGCCAACCGGTAGTAACGAGTCGGTGAAAGT